AAATACAAATTAAGTTATTTGCTGCAACATCAAAAATCATGCCGGTAAATATAAATTAATGTACATAGCATTTGTGCCAATATATCTTTGTTGGAGGTGCGGTCTTCGCTGTGCATCGAATTTAAAATCTTTGCCTACATATGTATATACATTTTCCAGGCGTACCATTCTCAGATAAAGGAATTTCCTCAAGTGGTTGGTAACATGGCACTTTTGCCTCTACGCACTCAAGCTCGTGGGCCTGCTCCTAGTGTCAATGTAGAATCTGATATCATTGATGAGTCACTGTATTACTTTAAGGCAAATGTTTTCTTTCGAACTTATGAGATAAAGGTAATTGATACAGACCTACTTATGTATGTTTAAATATTTTATTATGTTGACTTAAAGAATTTGGCATTTAAATCCTTCCATCTGTAAAATTACTGCATACTAATTTTTTCTATCTACTATTTAGTCGGAAGTAGATCGTGTGCTTATTTATATTACACTCTATATTACTGAATGTTTGAAGCGCTTGCAACGTTGCAACAACAAAAACCAAGGTGCTCAAGAAATGTACAGCTTGGCCATTTCAAAGTTTGATATACCAGGTGATTCTGGGTTTCCATTAAACGCAGTTTATGCTCGACCACAGAATGCACAAGAGGCTGGTAAGAAACTTATAATTTCAATATAACGGCTCATTTGTATACATACATACACATATGATTCTTACAGATTTGATGCGTCAGTATTTTTTACAATTGCGCCATGAAATAGGAAATCGGGTTTGTGAAAAAGTTTTCAGCACTGAGGACGGCAAGCCAAATAAGTGGTGGATTTGTTTTGCCAAGAAAAAGTTCATGGAGAAATCTTTGTCAGGCCCAGGGCAATAAGAATCTGCGTAACATTGTTCAAAAGTATGCTTCTCATATTACTTATTTAATGTATTAATTGTATTGTTCCAGTAACTTTAACCACACCGTAGAGTATGCCATCATCGTGAATGATACCTAAATGAGTCGTTATAATAAAAAATATTAATATGTGGATAATCAGCAGGGTTTTTCATATTTTGCGTATTAACATTACTTATGGATTTATTAAAACTTTTTCATTATAATAAATTTAAACTTGTTTAAAAACTCAAGGTTTTGAAGCATCCAGTTTTCAACGGTACAAATGATCTGCTTGCAAGTTAGACGCAATTTCCGATTCCCATTTGTCACCATTGCAAAGTAACTTCTCCTTGTTGTACAATAATTCTTCGTGAGTTTCAGTAGAGAACTCAAAATTAGGACCTTCTACAATAGCATCGACTGGGCAAGCTTCCTATAAATGCCATAAACAAGTTAATAAAATTTCAAAATTTTGTTCTGTAGTATCGCATACCTGACAAAAACCACAATAGATACACTTGGTCATATCGATGTCGTAACGGGTTGTACGTCTACTACCATCCGACCTTGTTTTTGCTTCAATGGTTATGGCTTGTGCTGGGCAAATCGCTTCGCATAACTTGCAGGCAATGCAACGCTCCTCACCACTTGGATAACGCCTTAGAGCATGCTCCCCGCGGAACCGAGGACTTAATGGACCCTTTTCAAAAGGATAGTTGATGGTTGCTGGTTCTTTAAATATATGCGCTAAAGTGACAGCAAATCCACGAAACAGTTCTCCTAGAAACATGGTCGTTGCCGCACGATCGGTAATCTCGTTGATTTCCATACTCAACTCCTTGTTGTTTACATACACATAGCCTTTCGGTACAGTCACTACATCCTTTCCAGCCGAACACATGCGGAGGCTGGTGCCAAACATACGTTGACCTGTGGTAATTTCATATTAATTTAATTTAGCAGACTTCTCAAGATATGACATAACTTCCATAACCTCAACCATTTGTACAGCAAACAAATATAAGTTATTGCTGCTACAATAATAAAAGGAGAGGCTGCTCACCATTTCGCGAAAGAATGAAAACTTTAGCTGGTAATGACATTTTGTCTGCAAAACAGCTTCCAACCTCCAAATTTATTATTTAGTGGCTCTTTGGTGCGTCTCACTACAAGCGATGGCTGAAAACAATTTTACCTCCCTGCTTCTTTGATTTATCGATGAAATGTCAAATATTTTTCTGATAATGTCACCGTGTTTTGTTGTGCTCGATTGTTCGTCTATAATTTTTTTCGGTGAAATGACTTGTGCTGCCAAGTTTGAATAATGCCAATTAGAAAAAAATCTTTAGTTGTTTTGGAGTAAATTTGTTAAAAAATCCACAATGATACAATAAATATTTAATATAAAATAAATAAAAATAGTTACTCAAAATATCCAATTTTTGGTTTTGGTAAAGAAGCGTAAAAAATAAAAAAAAAGTGTGGCTGCAAAGGACCGGAGCAGAAGTGGATGAACAAATTGTAGTTTCTGCGTATGAGGCCGAGCAATAAAACAACCAAGATGAATAGCTTATTTACTAAATCTATTAAACTTAACAACCTTGGACGTGCAGTACCATTAGCAATTTTTAAAAATTGTGAAATTATTCTTATTCGGCAATTCTCTAAGCAGGAGTCAAAGCTCGCAAAGTGAGTACATATTTCTTAAACACATCTATGTACGTACATTATTCATTGAAAGTCGCGGAGCGTTATGAAATATCTATGGTTTTCGGTTGCAAATGCAATAAATGCGCATTTTCCACAATAAGTATTGAAAGGAGGGGATTTCTATAAAAAGAGTGGCATTTGATTACATAACAAATTGCAATCAAGAACAATAGCATTTTTGATAATACATATCATTTTGTAGATTAGCTGAGGTAGGACGATTGGAGACCGCCAAATTGGATGGAAAATATGAAACTGGCCAATTGTTTCTGCACCGCATATTCGGATACCGGGGTGTTGTCCTTTTCCCATGGTCTGCGCGCGTATACGATAGGGATCTACATAATCCGAACAAGCAGAAACAAAGAGTGAATGTCAATAGTTCTTCTGATGCAGCGGTTGCGAACGAGAGAGGAAAACGGAGTACAGGTGGTCACATATCGACTTCAACCGAAAACGCACCCTCTGAGCAAGGAAGTACTGAAGCACAATCAACGGTTGGAGATGTAAATACGAGCTCATCTTCTACGACCAGTAATTCCGATACATCCGCGAAAGAGGTGAAGGGCAAACTGCATACATTCTATCAAGTGCTAATTGATTCACGCGATTGCCCGTACATTGTAAGAAAATATATTATGGCAGCATACATAGACTTGATTAAAACTTCTTTTTTCGTTAAGCGTGCGCAAACTGAGTCAGTGACATTCTTAGGGAATCAGGATTCGAATCGCAGCCTTTACGCTATTCCAGGCCTAGATTATGTAGCACATGATGATATAATGCCTTATTCGACAGGGGAGAAACATCCACTGCAACACGAACTTTTCGACAAGTTTTTGACACATGTACCAGACAAAGATCCACCTTTTCAAGGCCAGGATACGTTGAAAGCATGGCAGGAGAAAAACCACCCTTGGTTGGAATTAAGTGATGTTCATAAGGAAACCACGGAGAATATACGTGTTACTGTGATACCCTTCTATATGGGCTGTCGTGAAACCCCTGCCTCTTCTGTTTACTGGGTGAGCTTACAATTGCTAATTTTTAACTTGTATTCTTCAAAAGCTTATATATATATATATATATATATATATATATATATTTGTAGTGGCGATATTGCATACGTCTAGAAAATTTGGGTGTACTTAGCGTACAGTTACGCGAAAGGCATTGGCGTATATTTTCTCTTTCGGGCACACTGGAAACTGTTCGAGGACGTGGAGTTGTTGGACAAGAACCCATTCTCAGCCCCAGATTGCCGGCATTTCAATATAGCAGTCATGTTAGTTTACAAGCACCTAGCGGACACATGTGGGGAACCTTTCGGTTGGAGCGAGAAGACGGCCACACCTTCGATTGTAAAATACCTCCATTCTCTCTAGAAAGTAAACCCGAGGAACCAGGAACTGGACTCTCTAACACTGGGGCTAACGGTGGCGGCAATGTTGGTAGTAATAAACCGGACAACGTCGAATAATTCGATATGTTGCACACAATTATGGAACTGGGATTAATGTATAGATATGATTGACGTATCCCAATTTGAGGGAACAAGAAAATAAAGGTAGTAAGTTTAAGTAGTTCACTTCTATTTATCAAGTGTGTAAAATAAAAAGTCGCTTACTGATAGCAACGTAATTTCAGCTGAAGCTGAAATCTGGAGACTGATTTGCTATATTTGCTGGTACTTCAAAATTCTCACCCTTATTGCGAGTGTCGACTAGTAGTACATAAACGACTGTTAGTCGATTATCGATTATTCGTGGTATTTCAAACTCGTTTTCCTGTTTAATAAGAACGCGTGAATAGTTTATAGTCGCTCATCCTTGTACAATTAAACAGTTGTAGAAAAATTAGTAATAAACAAGTAATTTTTAGCCAAAAAAAACCGACTTCAATTCTCATATATAATATATATATATATATATATATATATATATCTCATGGTCCACTGATCGGATCTGAACCAGATTAGTATGGGACCACCTCTGAGACACTACCTTTACGATGCAAAAAGAATTATCGAATCGGTTGACGTGCTCAAAACTTATATTCCGACGAACTGGTAACCACCTCCTTTTTGGGAAGTCAGTTAAAAACTATTCAGTCGCTCATTGAACGAGAAATCGACATTCACAAAACCATGGAAAAGCGATAATCAAATAAAAGTCGTTTATCTACTACTAGTCGACACTCGCAATGTGGGTGTCTACTATTTTTAACTTTATAGCACTTAATTACAGTTGCTATTGATGATAAACATTTTCATTTCAGTGGCGATTGACATCTGCAAACCATCTGAGGTTGCGTTGCTATCCAAAATCGACATGTTTGTGTATAGATATGTTATTCTAACTTAAAGAAGGCAAACCTAGGACATTCTGGAAATAAATTGTCAATTGTTTGTTTAAATTTAATGTAGACATTTTATTTATATATGTATACCAAATTAACATTGAATACCTACTATATGATGAGAAATTAATTTTCTATGGCTTTGATATTTGTTGGCTTGAATTGAGCTCGAAAATTTAGTGGTCGCGCGTTGTCTTGTAGACAGAAAATTTCTTGCAGAGCATTAAGGGAAGCAGTTTTAATTGCTGTAGCCACGTCCTCTCCAAATCCTTTAAAATTTTCAGTAAAATGGAGAAATTAATTTTGTCTTCAAATTTTTTTTTAGATGCTTATGTTTTGTTTTCTCAACTTACCATGTCCAAGTAGTGTTTTATTTGCATATATTCCTACATGATATGCAGCTAGCACTGTATTCTTACCGCAATCTCCAAGTAAACGCGGTTCCATCTCACCCATTTTTCTCTCTTCACAGATTTGCTTTAACATTTGTTCAGGGTCCGCAATGTGCCATATATCAAGTAAATCGCGTTGATTCATTTGAGTACAAATAAAATCACGTATGAAAAGGAAAGCTCGTTCTTGTCCGCTGGTTTGCTCAATTGCACAGATTACAGCAAGTAAAGATCGGGCCATAGATTCTTTTTCTGGTGGATAATCTGCATCAAGTAGTAGTTCTATCATACCCAAGTGTGAACCAATGTGAGAAAGCATATCTGTGCTTAGCAAATATGCTGCGAATGCATTTATCCCTTCCAAGGGTACATCCGGAAACGAATGCTTTAGGTAAGCACGTACACACTCGTTAGCTAAATATGCACCACGTTCAGAAAGCTGATTGTTATCTTGCATCTGTATATCAGAATCCTTAATACCAAGGTCTTTTTGACGTTGGTACTCTTTTTCTACATATGAAGGCTGTGTGAATGCGGTCTGTAGCATATCCAATTGGAACTCTTCGTGCAGTCTTTTACCAAACGCAAACAGTTCAGCACGGTAATTCCACTCTATAAATCCCGACCGAGGTTGTGGTAACTGCGGCCCTAGTTTTTTCTGGCGTCTGCGAAGTTCACGTAATGTCGGCGCCACCCAACGCTTAAAATAGCGTGATTGATCTAAATGTAAGTTTTGAAACCATATCATTTACAAACAAGAAATACTTTAACTATTTACCTAACACTGGATGTATATTGAACCTTTGTGGTTGAGTGATAAGGCGCAGTGTAGTCCGAATTAGAGACATTTTACCAAGTTTTGCTAATCAATGGCGGTCTGATCAAAAATTATCTAAATACGAATTAAAAATCAGCTGGTAGGTACGTAGCGATGTCTAGCTATTATCGATAGCTATCGATTTTTTTCTTCGCTTATAGCACGCACGGTGCAGCGAACAAAGGTGGCGCCGTCAGTGGTACCGCTACTTTGGTTTTGCCGATTTTGACAGTTGTGGTAACTTGTAAATAAACCTTTGTTTACAAATCAGCGAAAGAGAAATTTGAATTATAAGTGAAAAATCAGTTTAAATCGTGTTAATTTGCAATTTGTGGGTGATTTTTGAATTGAAGACTGTGTAAAAACTAATACAATGAAGTGCTGTGTGTTAAATTGCGACAACCGTCAAGACGCAAGAAGCGTAGATGCAAGAGTAGCGCTGGGACGAATCGCTGCATTTTGTGTACATAGGGCACGGCAAAGCCGTTCCCGAAATGTTTCTCTATTATTATATTAACAGCATTTCCTCACAATGATTTTGTTTCTGCTCCACGCAGCCTCCATTAGCAAGTTAACTAATCAGTCCCGCAGAGATGCTGCTGCAGTTTTCTGTAGCAGCCTTAATTGCAGAGCAATGGAGTGCACTAAAACGTTTGCTGAAGCAGCCTCAATTGCAAAGCAATGGAGTGCACTACAATGTTCACTGTTCTCTAATAGATTAGGTGAAAAATGCAATATTTTCGCATTTAGCAAAATTAAAACACGTTTTTCGCAGTAAAGTGAACTGCTTTGGCTGTTTCAACTCGTTCTTCTTTTCGCTCTATTCTTTGTTTACTTGTGGTACACAAATGTCAACGCCCAGGACGGCGCAATCTTGTATTCTATCATTCTTGTATAGCACGTACCCATAATACAAGGGGCCTCCGCACACTAGTCTTCTAAGTCAGACTGAGTAGTCACCCCTCGAACGCACACTGGACTGGGCAGTCGGCCGAAAACAGGTTTCTGTTTTGTATACATGAACTACGCTCGATTAAGGGAAACTTCTCATTATGGCCGTTCGTTAAAGGTGCGGTGGACGAAGGGGGAGTGGGCGTGGCACCTCCAATCGACCTTTTTGGAGAGGGCATGAACCGCCATTGACAAAAATGCAACCCCCGACCGCCTAGGCCCCCTATCGTTCCCTACGGATCCCTTAGAAAAATTGCGAAAAATCGCAATTTTTACTTGCGTCCACAGCATTTTTTCGTAGAATTCCTTTCGCTTAGGGATTATAACCCTTAGTACGTAGAATTCTCCTTTCTGTGTGACCTAACTGGTTACTAGGTGTTTTATAAAAATGTCTTGTATATAAAAATGTGTACATAAAAATGTATTGTGCAAATGAATATTTAACATTTTTCAAGCGAATAGACGCAAATGAAAATTATGATTTTTGGCAATTTTTCTAACGGGTCCCTAGGGAACCATAGGGGACCTAGGTGGACCCACCCTGGGTGGAAAGTCATGCGTGTCGAGCTTGTAGGCAAGAAGTGTAGCGGAGTCAGCGGAGTAGGCAAGCACGCACGGTGAGCGAAATCGAGGGAGATTTTTTGACGTTTCGCTTTTTCATATTTTTGCTTTTAGTTCGCGATTCGCTCCGACCAAAGAAAATTTGACGCTCAAATGTCAAACATACGGAAGAAACGCCGCAAAGAAAAGGTCATCGTGTAAATGCACGAGGATTTTCGAAGACTTTTTTAAAAGGGAACGTGCCAATAACGCAGGGTGGAAAGTTGTCGTGTAAATTGGCTCATAGTGACGCGACAAAGAGAGCGACAAAACATTTTCGGATAATAGCGAAGAAAGAGGCAAGAAACGTCAAAACATAGTGAAGCAACCATCAGCTTAGAAAGCAACGAAAACACATTTTTTTGTTTTCGTTGCTATGCTCGTAGTCGTTCTCTTCACTTTTCGCTTCACTATGTTCTGCCACATCGAAAAAATAAAGGTTTGTTTTTGTCGCTATTATCCGAATATATCTTGTCGCTCTCTTTGCCGCGTCACTATGTTTTTGCCTAATGCGGCGTTTTTGCTGCATTTAGCCCTTTCGAACATATTTTTACGAACAGCGTTCATGATATCGCATTTAGCAAATGTACATTTACGCGAGTTCGAAATTGTATGCTTTTGATAAACAGGCGTATTCCAGTCGCTTATTCAGATCCGTATCTGTTACGATCAATTCTCACGCAGAAGATAATGTGCAAAAAACCCTACTGAAAAGGTAAAAAACAAATTTTAAACCAAAAATTCAATACAAAAACTTGAATTGTAACCATAACCGAACATTTGTTTTTGTATATATTCATTTGTCGGTGCTGTCAATTAAAATTTCCTCGCTTAATTAGGAAACAAAACAAACAGAGTTAATCACAAATTGATCCAGATTTCCATCAGCATCACATCGATGTTGAATTTGCGTAACGTTTGTTTATCCAAATAATATAACATAATAAATGAAATCTCGATCGGCGATCACTGAAACGCAGGTAGCCACTGTATACGCGAAAAAGCAATGTTGCCACTATTCCTCATTAAACCATGTTCGAATCGTGGAAATTTTTGAAGATCACAGGGTTGCAAAATGCAAAAATGGACTTGCATTTAGGTGAAAATTTTGTATTAATAAATGTACATTTTGAGTGTGATTATATTGGCATTTATTACAAAATATAATAAATGAAACCGATTAAAACTGATCAAAAGGTGTCCATAAAATATGGTTTTCGTGATAGAAAGTGTTTTACAAGCGCATAGCATCAGCACAGCTCAATTTTTCAATGCCAACGTTCTGACCACAAAAGTAGACCCACTTTTCACGCAAATTTACGCCTTTTGGCAAACCAAACATACGCACAAACTTGTTCCAATCATATAGCACTTCATTTTATATCATAAATATGTAATAAATTAAAATTTATAATTAAAATCGCTGCAGAAAAAAATCAATCGCTAAAAAACTACTACGAAGAGGTGTAGAAGACGGTGTAAACAAAACGGAAAAACGTCAAAAACGCTACGAAAACTTTTTTCTGAAAATCGATTAGAAATAAAAAGATGGTTGATTAAGTGATCTGTAGTCACGATTGAGAGAAATAGAGGTTGCGTCAATCACGGTACCGCCATTCCTCTCTCAGTGAATTTGACAGAATCGTTGTTTGTATGACGTCACACTTGTGCAACTTGTTTACGTTTTCCTTGCAACATTTTTTCTTCTTATTCCATTCTTGCTCACGTTTTGGCATTTCTCTCTCGCAATTGCACCAGTGTGATGTCACACAAAAGTTATTCTCAAAACTCCCTCTGATAGGCGCAATCTTGTATTCTATCATTAGTTGCGTTTTTTTACTCATTTCCAGTAAAATCCAGTAAAAGTTTTTACGAATTTTCATGTTTTGGCGTTTTCGTACGCAAAAACTTGTAAAGTAGGGGAAATTGAGAGAGCGAAAAATGACAGTTGAAGTTGCAAGTTTTTACTGGATTTTACTGGATAAATTTTTACTTGTAAGAATTTGCCAGTACGAAAAACAGCTGATCGCATGTTGCTGGATGAAATTTAAACTAATAAGGAAACTGTTTGTGGGTTTTTATTGTTGAATCTCACAAAATAAACCTATTTAAATACAAAATATATTGTTTTATTAGGAATTTGCTGCGAATAAACAACCAATTTATCAGCTGTTCATGAAACTTGCAAATTGTTACTGGAAAAGCGTTCGCGTACTTTATTGCAATTTTTTTCTTTGAGAGCGAATTCTTAGAAATAAAGTTACTGGAGAGTTGCTGGCAAGTTACTGGATAATTTGTAAAAAAACACAACTATTATTGATCTGTAGTCATGATGCAATAATACAAGGTGGTATCAGTTGTGACAGCTCGATTTGACACTGCCTTAGCTCAGTATAATAATAATAGATTGGCGCTTACACATATGTTAGTGTTTGGCCGAGCTTCTCCTCCGATTTGTGGCGTGCGCCTTGATGTTGTCACACAAAGAGGAGGGACCTACAGTTTTACGCCGATTCCGAACGGCGATTGTATTTTAATGAGACTCTGTTTTTCATGCCAGAAATTCACTCGGAGGTTTGCCATTGCCTGCCGAAGGATGACCGCTGTTAAGAAAAAACCTTTTTTCTATTTTTCTTCCGATGTTGCTTTGACCAGGGCTTGAACCCAGGTGCTGCGGAGTGGAAGCTCGCACTGCTTACCACTACACCACAGCTCAGTATACTGAGAAGAAAAACGGGAAGAAATTAATCCTCATTTGGGGGGAAAATATAAAATTTCATTTTTTCTCCTAAACAAAATTTGCGATGAGTATGGTCGCGCTGACCTGTCGAGTTTTTATAAAGCAAATATTAGATTAAAATACACACAAAAATTATGTCGTTTCATTAAAAATAACATACAGCTTTAAATTAAGCTTCATAAAATATAAATTAAAATTTTGAATCAATGGAATATAATACTATTAAATAAAAATTACTTTTTTAAAGTAATACACGTAGACATTAAGAAAAAAATTGCGATTAAATCGAAATGTGAAAGCGTACCGTTGAAACGGCACTATCGTATGAACAAATTAACTGTATGAAAAAGTGAACTGAGAAAAATTTATTACTATAACTGTTTCATGAAGCGAGACAAGAAATACATATTTTAAAGGAATTAATTTCTAAAATTGTTGAAAATTACAGGCTGCGTTTCTTTATACATTCCGGATAATCCAATTTCACAGCCGGAATAAACAGAATGCGTTTGAAATATACGTCAACATATCATCAGGAACGTTCTAAAGAATAAATAAACAAAAAAGTTTATTCCAAACGTTCAGAATGAATAAAGAAATGCAGCCACAATTTTATGCATATGCATTAAGCACATATAATACGACAAATATTGATTAAATTATTAAATTGATTAATAACTTGGCAATGCGTGGACCTAGTTCCCTGCCATACAAATACAAATACAAACTTAATAAATATAATTTGACGTATAATTACTAATTACTAAATTGAAAGAATAACCTGGTTACTTGTGGACCGCTAAGGTTCCAACCAAGAAAACACAACACATATTTTAAAAACGATATAATCAACATTTAAGAAAACGAAAGATTTGAAATAAGCATAGCAGAAACTTGTGCATGTAGTTCTGGTCCATAGCGGTATTACCATCGTGTATCAGTGGAGCGATGATTGGATACATCAATGGAATATAACATACCAACCTACCCCAAAACCCAAAAAAAAAATAAACAAAATTTGCTTTTTTATAGTATATTCGTAATGAAATAAAATAAAATAAGATAAAAGACCTTTTTATGTGTATACTGAGAAAAAAAATTCAATTCATTCAAATAGTGAGACAAGGTAAAAAAATGTACCATGGTGTACCATGAACCAATTTCGTGTGTGTGTGCAAAGCTTTTGTAAGGGAGCTAAGGGAGTGTCAAAACTCGAATGTCAATAACGAGCAAACCTTTAATTACGCTCAAAAATTGCTTCAATTTTTTTTTCATTATGCTTCGCCTCTATGTTCTTTGTTTACTTTTGTTTCATTTCAAAGAAAATAACATGGCGCCGAAATTACAAACATCAGCTAGAAAATCACTCTTTTTATTTACTTCATCTAGCCAGATCTTGTGTAGTTGGATCATGATGGTGTAGAAGTAAATTGAATTTTGATGTGCCAAATGCAAGCAAAATTTGACAGTTAAAAAAAACAAATAACCACTCGTTCGAAAGCTATACTTTTGTGTGTTGCTGAAATTATTCAAATTTATATCTATTTCGCAACTTCCAAGAAGCGTACGCTTTTTTGTGGTTTTTAGCTTCCATTTTGATTTTCACTATTTATTACCGCCAAACACTACTGTGCATACATATTTAAATGCTGTCAAGATTTTACCTAGTCCGATGAGCTAAGGAAAATTCTGACGTTCGCATTCACCACGATAAATGTCAAATTTTTAATTTCATCCGTTAAAATTTCCTATTTTCTATCATTTGGCCCATAGTCCGAAATCAATTATAAAAAATCGATATTTTACGTTTTATCATCGATAATATTGATGAAAATGTGGTATATCTAATTTGACAAGGCGTCGCTAGAGGTGCAAAACTATCGATAGTCAGACCATCGATAGTTTTCGATATTATTTTCAAAACTATCGATATATCGTCTATAGTATCGTATTTATATGGTTTTGACTCAATTTTCGTATGAAGATTTCCTTAAGAATATATTTCTAAACTACGTTTGGATATTCTGGTAAACTACTGTACACTTTTTTTAATTGTTTAACCGTTAAGTTAGAAGTAAAGTTATAATTTGAAATGAATTGAAATGGAAAAAAATTGGGCATACTGACATTTTATATTTGTGGTTTTAGACATCCTCTGTCATATATAAGGCATTCATCAAGTAAATTTCAATTTTAGAAGAAGAAACCATTTTTTATCTGAGAAGTAATGGTTTTTATTTACCTTTTCATAAATAGTAAATAGCGGTGGTAGATAATATTGAAAGTTTTGGTATAAATTAATTTGTATCAGTTTTTAGTGGTATTTTAAAAGAAGCAAGGTTTTCCGTCATTTTCGAAATTTGACATTACTCTTTTAAAAAAGTAGCAACCAAATTTTTAGTTCAACTTGGATGTTTAAGAGAAATGAAAAGAAAAGAAGAAATAAAACTAAAATAAATACTGAATCACATGTCTGTCGGACTATCGATAGGACCAAAAAACAATCGATAGTAGGGAAAAATAAAAAACATCGATACTATCGATAGTGCCATCGATAGTTTTGCACCTCTAGGCGTCGCCGTTGCCGTCATTCGATAGATTGTTTTCAGCGTTTTTAATTGTGGGAAATAATACAAAAGGCGTTATAAAATAGATTGTTTATTCTTAAAAAAGTGTTAATAAATGGCGTTTCAAACATATGGTGATAAGCCTGTGGCTTTCCAACTTGAGGAAGGTGGCGAATACTACTATGTGGGTTCGGAGGTCGGCAACTATATGCGCTTATTTCGTGGCATTTTATATAAAAAGTATCCTGGTATGACTCGGTTGGTACTCTCAAATGAAGAACGCAAACGACTCGCTGATTCTGGGCTGAGTTCACATATATTGGCCAGTTCAGTGTCGCTACTGCGAGCCGTTGAAGTTGACGATATAATCGCCGGGAATGATGAAAAGTAAGTTGCTTTCTATGTATGTATATACTACATTGGTTCATGGGTGTTTATGTATGTCAACAGTCATGAGTAATATTTATGCAATATAATAAAACAGATATCGAGCTATATCGGTAAACACTTCAGAAACACCTCTACCACGGGAGAGTAAATCAAAAAAGCAGCCACAGTATGTTCCCACGATGCCGAACTCCAGTCATTTGGACGCAGTTCCACAAGCTACACCGATCAATCGCAATCGCGTTCACACCAAAAAAGTGCGAACGTTTCCCATGTGTTTTGATGATACGGATCCAACTGCTAATATTGAAAACGCAGCACAAAAGGAATGTTTAGTGCCGATTCGTCTAGACATGGAGCTAGAAGGTCAAAAGTTACGAGACACATTTACTTGGAATAAAAATGGTAAGCGTATTATTATGTTTTAAGTTACTTCCTAAAGCAGCCTTTATATTAGGCGATTTATTGACAGGCGATAATCGCCTGCAAAAGTTGATTTGCTGTCTACTTTGAAGCATGAACGAAAGACACAAGAGCACGCGCGAACGAAAGAAAGAAAAAAATAATTTTCTAGCTCTCGAAATCTCGACGCCATCTTGGTTGTAAGAAGTAAACAACGAAGAGAACAAAGAAGACCGCGTAATTGCTGAACGCATGAATAATCATTTTTATTATACAAATTCTTCTATAAATCATGTGTTAAATTGTTCTTTACCTTAGGGAACGTACCCATACTACGTGAGCCACTTTTTCTAATTTTTGACTTTTGAATTTTTTCGAAAAAACGTTAGATTTCCTTAAAGGATGTTGACTACGTGATAAACATGTAGGCCCCCGCCCCCAGCCACTGTAACCAAGCGTAGTATTTTGAAGATTCCCCTCTCCCCCCTGAACGGGTCACGTAGTATAGGTATGTTCCCTTATGTGTACACACAAGAAAATTCCAGTAAAAAGCCACCACCAAATTGTAAGCAACGAACAAATGTACACAACCGGCTTATGTCAAAATCGCCCATCCTAAATGCGATTATAACAGGCTACTGGCTTGCTGGCGTGATCTTGTATTTGTTCATGACTTTGAAGCACGCTATTTTTGAATCACCATTTAAACAAACGATTTTTGTTGAGCAATATGGCCTCATGTAATGGCAGCTTTATTCTTTATAAAAGAATGGCAAGAGTTAATTGGCCAGCAAACATGATTAAAAAAATGCCTAAACTTGGAATACAACTTTAATTTTGAAGTATATAAACTTTTTTTTGTCTTTATAGAAAGCATGATAACGCCCGAACAGTTCGCGGAAGTACTTTGTGATGATTTGGATCTAAATCCCATACCCTTTGTACCCGCCATTGCACAAGCAATACGACAGCAGATTGAAGCATTTCCTAATGAGCCACCTATATTAGAGGAAAGTTGTGATCAACGTGTTATTGTAAAGCTAAATATCCATGTGGGTAACACATCCCTTGTAGATCAAGTTGAATGGGATATGTCTGAAAAGAACAATAATCCCGAGGAATTTGCTATAAAATTATGTGCAGAGCTTGGTTTGGGGGGAGAGTTTGTAACAGCAATTGCTTATAGCATACGAGGTCAATTATCGTGGCATTGCCGTACTTATGCCTTTAGCGAGGCTCCTCTATCAACTATCGACGTTCCATTCCGAAATCCTAGCGACGCTGATGCATGGGCACCTTTCCTTGAGACATTAACCGATGCTGAAATGGAGAAGAAAATACGAGATCAAGATCGTAATACGCGCCGTATGCGTCGTTTAGCCAACACTACTACCGGCTGGTAGACTGACAACATTCGAATTAGTTATCATGCCTAATACGTTATCCAACGGATAGCATCCGCACGAATGTAAACCGATTCGCAGTTCCAACAAGCGAGTAAAGAGGATTAGATTCGTGCGAATGGCATCCCTCGGATAAGTGCCTACTCTGGTCCGACAGATACCCTTTACAGATACGAATGTAATCCTTCACACACTAGCTTGTTATGACAGTGCGAATCAGATTATATCAGTCGGATACCGTAATAGGTATGTATAGATATGTATATCACATTTGCATACATACATACACCGGCGATAAAAACTGAGTGCACGGTAATTTTTGCTAAATATTTGGAATGCTGTAAGCAAAAAAATATATAAATTAAAAATCAACACGATGTTTTACCCACTTAAAACTTGATTTGTTTTGTTAAAAATTCAGATTAAAAATTTTAAGATTTTAATTAAAATTGTGTTGAGTGTGTCTAATTCTTAATTTTGTACAGCACGAACAATGTTTTTATAAAAACAACAACAAAAAATTTTCGAAAAAATTAACAAAAATCACCTTGCACTCACTTTTCATCGCCAGTGTATATGGTTTCCATCAGCTTAATCATCCGAAGAAAATAATAAATTTTATAAAAGCTGGTATTTTTCCCGATTTCCTAATAAATATTCATAGATGTAAAGAAACCAATTTAATAAATTTCCACTCAGAAAATTTGCTGAGAACTTCCACAATTGTCGCTACTTTTTTGCTGATTTAAGTCCAGGGGCTACTCTGTAATGCGATGCGAAAGAGAAATGCGAAGCGATTGTCAATACCACCAATACCAACAGCCACAGCATATTACATACGACGTATTTGCCTTTCGTATCGTATTACAGAGTAGCCCTCCTGCTCTTTCCGCTTTAAAAACTAGCATTAGCGAGGAAAACAAATGTATGAGCAAAAACAAACAGGAAGGAGCATCATTATCCAAAATTTTTTTGGGAATTTGTATATGGTAACAACATAGGGGGAATTGCTTCAACCTGCAACAACAAACATAAAAGGGAGCTTTAAAACTGCCAACTATATTAAATGAGTAGCCTATTCGAGTTTTATCTCGAATCGAACTAACTTTTGGAAAATAAAACTAAACCATGCAAATGGATTTAAACTTTCAGCAAATAGATTTAAACTTTGGGCAAATAAATTTAAAGTTCCGGCAAATAAATTTAACTCTTGGTCAAATAAAATTGAACTCTACTGTGTGTGAAAAATACACTAAATAAAGCAAGTACCAGTTTTTCAAAAATCTGTTTAGTACCACAGTATTCCAGTAGAGTTTAATTTTATTTGCCCAAAGTTTTCATTTATTTGCCTAAAGTTCAAATTTATTTTCTGCCATCTTAAATCCATTTAACTAGAATTTTATTTCCTTCCACGTTCTATGAATAAATCTCTTACTATTACTTGTCAGTTATCGGCGATGTCGATAATATAATTTCTTATTCTTGCCTTTTGATTTGCCATAAAAAAATCGCTCTTTAGAGTAAAGCATTAACCTTAAAATTTCTACTCTTTTGAAAGGGCTGGGGCTTATATATATAAAACTTACAAGTTATTAAAAGCAATTTTACAACTAATATACTATGCCTCCTAAGAAGCCTTTTCCTATTTTCACTACACAATAATTCGTAATTTTTAGCTTTCAGCCATATCGCCTTTATCTTGATCCGCTTCTCCACTGTAGAATTCATTTTTCGGCTCGACCATTTTATCGTCTTCTGCTTGCGTTATTCGAACATCTGGATCAGATTCCTCTTTCACACGCACCTCCTCCATATCTATGACGTCTGGTGGTATTTGTACCATTTGCACGCTCGGCGAATGTTGACACATCTTTAAATTCTCATAAACATGTTTTACTATTAATTCCAAATATTGTTTAGAATTTGCGTTTTCCTGTCGTGAGTTCACATCTGGATGTAGCGTGAAATCAGGTGCGAAAAATTCTAAATACTCTGACATTGGCAAATCATTAGAAATATTTTCATCTACCAGTAAAGAAGTTTCATGAGTCCAGCAACGGGCCACGTTGCGTAAAGTGTAGCCGCCACCCCCTACAACCAAAGTAGGTACATTTAGTTCCTTAACGAATTTCACACACTCGCCATGTCCACGAGTACTAAGGGAAAAACAGCCCAAACGATCACCAGCAAGGGAATCCGCGCCGCATTGCAAGACAATCGCTGTGGGGCGATAAAAATCCATTACTGCCGAGATTATTGGCTTGAATACTTGAAAATAGCTGTGATCATCAATGCCTTCTTTCAAAGGAACATTTACACTATAGTACCGACCAGATTCAGCACCTATTTCATACATGTCTCCCGTTCCAGGGAAGAAATAGTTTCCATATTTATGGAAGGAAACAGTCATCACACGGTCGGTGAGGTAAAAAGCCTCTTGCACACCATCTCCATGATGCACATCGATATCTATATACAACACTCTGGGATTGTACTTAAGTAATTCCAGAATGCCTATTACTATATCGTTAACGTAGCAGAAGCCTAAAATTACCGATGGTTAGTTAAAAAAGGAGTCAATTTCAATGACTTACTCACCTGATGCTTCAAATTTTTTAGCATGATGTAAGCCACCTGACCAATTGATGCATATATCACTGTGATTGTGATTCAACTTCTGCGCACCCTCTAGTGACGCACCTGTGTACATTGCACAAAACTCGAATAATCCATCAAACACCGGACAGTCCTCACCCACACTAAAGTGAGACAAGTATTTTGTGTATCCAACGGCTGAAATAAAAGCAAGTAGCATACAAAACTTAAGCAAACATATCTTGGTCGTATTTACTATTGCACTGGATGTTTTGCGGAGTGACTTTCTGCAGAAAGTCAATGTACTCTTCACTGTGAAATCGGAGCATGTCCTGGGCACTTGCTCTACCAAAATGTTAAAATAACCATTTCATGTACATATGTATGTATATTTAATAAGCTATTAACTTGGTGCTTGTACGTACTTGTAAGGTCGATATATTTTCATCTTTTTGTGAAGTCCATAGTTCATGACAAGGCTATGGGTAACCGACAAGCGGTGCGGCTTCATTGGATGACCAGGTCCATAATGAAAATTGCCCACATCGGGATTATAAAAATATGATACACGTCGATTGGTAGGAGTTGACATTTTTTGCGTCGGTTTTCTTAGACCTCAAGCGATTTAAAATGCAAATCAATTATTAAAGTGTATATTATCGTCATGGAATGCAAGTCTTTTAGCAAATAATATGAAAAGCAATACAATGACTATCAACATAAGCCGACGCGTTGTACTAAAGTCCAATTCAGTCAAGTTCATAACGCATTTGTATTTAATATAATTTGAATTATTTCTTTCTACATGCGAGCCAATCTAATTAATTATGGAACTATGCACACATATTAACTAGTACCATATGCAAAACCCTAATAACATAAACGATTTCATTAAGCTGAAATTAGTCGAGAACGCAGAACGTATACTTAAACGCAGTCTGCATACGCAGAATTTTGTCGATTACTGGAGCCCTCAGTGTTGCTTACTACACTGTTGCCACTCTTCAATACCTTTTCATAAACTTACCCTTTCAACCACAATTTTTCGTGCAATAATAGATTGTAGCTAAATATAAACTACTTAGTTTTCAACAAAAACCTTATTCAATAGTAAATTTCACATATTTTAAACATATTTTGANGGTAGGTTTACGTTCTTGACTAATTTCAGCTTTAGGCATGAAATGATACAAGGCGAATTATATACAGTACATACTCGATACTTTCCGATCGATACCAAGTCATTTTGGTATCGACACTTTTGAACCATGATAAAAACATTAAACGCAAGGCTCATTATACCATGTTCTGACCGACAACGAAAACACTTTGAAAACGAGTTATACCATGTTGTGACCGACATCGAAAACATGTTTTCGTTGCTAAAACCGGTTTTCGACTTAAAACATGTGTTTTCGTCCATGTAAAATCTGTTTCGCTGAAAACTACTTGAAAACTCACGTTCCACTCATTCCAATCGGTGTCTGCACTAGTTTTTTTCGATTGTTTATCGAAGTGGAAGTCATATTTTATCATCTTTAATACCCAATTTCGGATTTATTGTTAATTGGCTGGCAAAAGTAAAATAATGGGCTGTTTTTGCTTACGCGTAAAAGCACATTTAGCGCATTTAGCTCTAAATGCTACTCTAAATGTACATTTATCCATACAAAATTCGTCACCTAAATGCAACTAAATGCAACTCCATTTTTGCATTAAGAATCTAAATGCTAAAAGCAACCCTGTGATCTTCCAAAATTTCCACGATTCGAACATGGTTTAAAGAGAAAAAGTGGCAACATTGCTTTTTCGAGTATACAGTTGCTAGCTACGTTTCAGTGATCGCCGATCGAGATTTCTTTTATTTTGCATTACATATTTGGATAAAGAAAAGTTAAGCAAATTCAACATCGATTTGATGCTGATAGAAATCTGGATCAATTTGTGATCAACTCTGTTTGGTTTGTTTCCTAATTAAGTGAGGAAATTTTAATTGACAGCACCGACAAATGAATATATACACAAACAAATGTTCGGTTATGGTTAAAACAATTCAAGTTTTTGTATTGAATTTTTGGTTTAAAATTTATTTTTTCCTTTTCAGTAGGGTTTTTGCACATTATCTTCTGCGTGAGAATTGATCGTAATATATACGCATCTAAATAAGAGACTGGAACACGGCTGTTTGTCAAAAGCATACGATTTCGAACTCGCGTAAATGTACATTTGCTAAATGCTATAGCATGAACGCTCTTCGAAAACATATGTTCGAAAGTGCTAAATGTTGCATTTTTAATGCAGCAAAAACGCTGCATAAGAATGAAAGTAAGGGGTTATGGGCTGTTTTTGCTTACGCGCAAAAGCACATTTAGCGCATTTAGCTCTAAATGCTACTCTAAATGTACATTTATCCATACAAAATTCGTCACCT